CTAAGTACGGATCAGATGATTATTCCACATTTGTTTAATGGTTTGCATTGATCTCTTTGCGAGACCGTTGCTTTGCGGATAGTTAGGACTACTTGTTACATGTTTGAAATCAAATTCTCCTGCAAAATCTTTAAATGTTTGAGATGAATAATGTGGCCCATTATCCAAGAAAACTATCTCCGGAATTCCATGTCGCGTGAAGACCGATTTGAAATGGTTAATAATCGCTGCCGACGTCGTGCCAAACAACTTTGCAATATCAATGAATTTTGAATAATAGTCAACAACTAGCAAGTATTTTTGACCATTCAGTTTAAACAGATCAGTGACTACTTTTTGCCATGGTCGATCCGGGAATTTACTTGGAATGAGTAGCTCTCTTACATTTTGAGATCCCTCTATGCACTTTTGGCAAGATTCTACTAATTTTTCTAATTGAGTACTCAAGCCATTTCACCAAACAGATGACTTGGCTAACTCCCTACATTTCAGTATCCCTTGTTGACGTTGATGTATTTTTCCTAGCATTTCCTCTTGAAGTTCATTGGGGATAACTAACCTTGTACCTTTTAGTAACAAACCGTTTTGTATTGTAAAGTCTCCCCTGACTTCCCATAACATTCTCAATTCTGTTGGGATTTCAGATTTCTCGGGCCATCCCGATTTACGGTATTGTATGAATCTTTGGATTCTAAGGGGTAATTCAGACAAATCTTTTGTACTTAAGAATGGTACAAGTGGTTTGTGGTCCGTTTCTATTTTGAAATCTCGATCTATTAGATAGTCACTGAAACGTTCACAAGCCCAAGTAATAGCTAAGGCTTCTTTTTCTATCTGGGCATACCTTTGCTCCATTTCTAACATTCTCCTTGATGCATAGGCCACGGGTTTCAATGCTTGCCCGTGTTTCTGCCTTAGGACTGCACCTAGACCGTATGACGATGCTTCAGCTGTGACCATTATGTCTTCTTTTGTGTCATAATGTGCTAGACAGGGAGCTTGAGAAATCTCTGTCTTTAGACTCTCAAATGACATTTCTTGAGCCGGACCCCACATCCATGCATTCTTAAGTTTGAGCAGCTCTCTAAGAGACTGTGACCTCTCTGCCAGCTTTGGTGAAAATCTGTTGAGCTGATTCACCATACCCAAGAACCTACGTATGTCGTACACGTTTTCTGGCTTTTTCATGTCTAACATGGCCATGCCCTTTTGTGATTCTACTCTAATGCCCCTTTCGTCAATGACATGACCTAGGAATGTCACTGATGGTTTTGAAAATTCGCATTTCTTATTGTTCAACGTGTAAGGCCATTGTTCCTGAGAATGCTTAAAACGTTTTCGAGGATTGTGTCATGCTGACCATGCGTTGCCGCAAATATGAGGATGTCATTCATGTGACATAACACACCTTCAACCCCACAAAGGATTTCTGACTTTTGTTTCTGAAAGAACTCACTGGCTGAATTTATTCCAAACGGAAGTCTATTAAAATAGAATCTCCCGTACGGAGTTATAAAGGTTGTAAGCATCCTTGATTCAGGTGCTGGATTTATTTGCCAAAACCCTGAGTTTGCATCCAATTTGAAAATATTTTTGACCCTGATAATTTGGACAAAGACTCTTCAACTGAGGGAAGGGGGTGATTTTCTCTTTTGACTGATTCATTTAGCTTTTTCAGGTCTACGCATATTCTTACTTGGCCATTGGGTTTGGGTCTATGACAATTGGAGCCCATCATTCAGTAGGCTCATCAACTTTGGAGATAACTCCTAAGTTCTGCATTCTGTCTAACTCCTCTTTGACCTTGTCTCTTAGTGCAAATGGCACTTTGCGAGGTGTCGACAATGCATATGGCTTAAGGTCTTCTTTTAAGTTTACTTTATATTCCTAGTTACTTTTCGCCAGCCCATTGAAAATCAGTGGGAATTTTTCGCGGAAATATGTTTCAAATATTGGTGTTTGAACTTTTTTTTATCGCGTTGACAGACACAATATTTACCTTTTCAATGATGTGCAGAGCAATGATAGCCGGTTTACCGAGTAATGCCTGGCTCAATCCTCTCACAACATGTATTTCTTGCACACTGAACACACTTTTAGACTCAGGCTCACAAAGAAACTTTCCCAACACATTTAATTTTGAGTTTCCTGGTCCATGCAATGAGCGATCCACGTGTGAAAGTTTAGTTCCTCTTAACGGTTTATACGCGAACTCGGGTATCACTGTTAAGTCTGCACCAGTGTCTATCTTGAACGTTGCAGTTTGATCTCGGATTTTAAGGTTGGTCATCCAATATTCTCCTTCTTTTGTGTCGACGGACCCAAGAAACAATTCACCTCTCTCGCCGGAGCTCCTGTCCACTTCTGATATGTTTGCTTTGCGACAAACTTTAGCGAAATGTCCTTTGTTGCCACACTTATGACATTTAGCATCTCGGGCAAGACTCTTGTCTCGGGAATGTATTGTAGCATTTCCACATCTGTCACAGCCTGCCGGGTTGGTTGTATTCGCTGTCTGGGCTGGTTGTCTGGAATTTGCATTTTTCCCTCTGGAATCTTTCTGCGTCCATGTTGTTTACGGGTACCTCTGGGATAGTTGACCCTCTCACAATCGGCTCTTGCTTCTTGATTGTCTCGTTCTGCCTGGCCATTAATATCGCTGACTCCAGGCTGAGTTTTGAATCAAGTTGTAATTTTTCTGATATTTTTCTGTCCCTCAGTCCAACGACTATCCTGTCTCGGATAAGGTCATCATGTAGGGCGAAATAGTCGCAATATTCGACAAGGACATGAAGGACTGTGATAAAACTGTCAGCGTCAGCTGTTTCGCCTTCCTCCTGCTTCCTTTGGTTAAATTTTGTTCGCTCGAATATAACGTTACTTCTGGGAATAAAGCACTTTGATAGTGCTTATTTAACTTGCTTCCACTTAACACTATCACCACTGGAAATTTTTGAAGATGATAAGATTTCGTCAGCCTCCTGTCCCATGGAATAGATCAGTGTGCTGACTTGTACGTCCTCATATGCTTCACAAAGTCCTGAGGCGAGTCGGAAATTCTCGAATCTTTGGAACCATTTTTCCCATCTCTCTGGTTTTGTAAAGTCAATTTTTCCGGGTGAGCAAATTGAAATGATGCCATGTTGGTACTGGGGTAGTCCTTTTTAACTTAGAAAAGTGTTAACACCGCTGCCACCATGTTGTGTTAGATGATAACGTAACACAGGGTTCGTTATATACATATATTAATTCCGCTACAAACTACATCCAGCTACATGAGTTACAAGATATAAACTGTGTTCGATCTCTATAGATTCTCACACTCCCCAACTCCCATACTGCACCCATATCGTATATCAATCAGCTTTCACTCATTCATTGCAGCCAGCTTGGGAATATTAATCTGAGTGCAGACCATGTTTATACTACAGTGTAGATTCAAATTTGTTCAAATCGTGACCCCCCCTCCCCCCCCCCCCGGGGTAGGGCCGGGTCACAATTGATGATCAGAGATTTACATAGGAATATATAGAAAAAAAATGAAAATCTTCTTTTCAAGAACCACTCAGCTTGGCCAGGAAAGATGAAACTTATGTGAAAACATCTTCGTGTAGTGTAAATTCAGGTTTGTTCAAATCATGACCTGGGGGTAGGGTGAGACCACAATGGAGGATTAAAGTTTTCCATAGGAAGGAATAGATCGGATTTTTTAAACTCTTCTTTTTAAGAACAACAAAGCCATGATTGGTCACATCTTTATGTAAGCATCCTCACGTAGTTTAGATTTGTTAAGTCATGAATGGGAAGTAGGGGTTAGGTACGGTGGTACATGTACACAATAGGGGGATCAAAGTTTTGCCTAGAAATATCAAGGATTTTTTTTCCCCAAGAAAAGAAAAGCCATGATTAATAATATTGATATGGAGGCTTTCTCAGGTAGTACAAAGTAATACTAGTTCAAATGAGGGCTGGTGGTTTAGAATTCCAGACCCCCTCTCTTATGTAGACTTCTTAAAATGGAAGTGATTTCTGCTTTATATCCTAACCAATGTGCTTAGGTGAGCAATGTGGCCCATGGGCCTCTTGTTAAATTTCTAATGCACTTTTAAAATAATTTCCAATCTTTTGCATAATCTTTAAATATTATATCCAAATATTACCAAATTCATCTTCTGGTAAACAAGTAAACAACTGCATTCTAATGAATCGTATATTCTGGAAATCGTTCAAGTAAAAAGGTCACCACTAGTGGCCAGCATCTATGTTTATTTTTATCTTTAGAGCTCGCATCTGTTATCTCTCTCCGCCGAAGAGTGCAAATACACAAAAAAGTGTTACAATCTTATTTTAGTGCAATTTTTTGTTATGATAAATTTTTATTATTTTCTGCTTCTTAAGGGAGCACAGGTTCTCTAAATAAGCTTGGTTATTGTTTAAATAGGAGTTACAAAAAAAAAAAAAAAAAAAACAGAGACTGAACGGACCAGGACTACAAATGTTTTCTTGCTCAATTATAAGCACTTTTTTATATATATATATATGTAATTATTTAATATCCGAGAACTTGACAATAAAATTTTTTTTCGGACAGCATTGCATCATAAGCATGTGGTTTACAAATAAGATATACAAATGTTATCTAAGTTTATGAGAATTAAACCCCTCGCGTCTTCTGAGGTTATTTACCTAGTGTACACAGTGCGCAGACGAAACAAATCGAAAAATAAGGAAACTTTTTAACATGCATAATACAAATAAAGAAAAACAGCTTGCTCACTATAGGCAGAAAAACACAACCCATGCACAATACAGGGTAAAATGTTACTGATTAATCCGGAAGCTTTTTTTTTATTTCCGTAAAAAGGGTCTATTTCTTCCGCTGAAGGAATTCATTTAAATTTTTTTTTCACAGCAAAAAAAATCTTTAATATCCGCGATCACGCAATGTATATCTACTCCTAATTCTGTTTCCTTCTTCTGCTCTCAGTTGATAACATTTATTCAAACTTTACATATTGGGCAACAAAAATAAAATCTTTGACACGATGAGAGGATGCATAATTTTTGCCTACCTTATATTGTTTTGGAATAATGTATATGTATCTAAAGGCTGGGGTAATACTTTGAGTTTTCATTTCAACAGATGCACGTTTGCAGGATTAATTTTATTTTTGATATGCTATTTTTAAGTTTCGACTTATATGAATATTTTTCATCCGTTATATCTTTATCTCTTTTAGAAAATCTTAGTTTACTACCACAGTATAAAGGACAAGCGTCATTAGAACCATATTTCAGCGGTTATAACGCGCCGCCAGGGGGAGCTGTAGATGGATATCTCCAGGAGGAATGTGGACAAGGCACATGTAGCATTACATGGGCTAATTCAAAAATTAAGGAAGCTTGGTGGAAATTTCCATTGAAATCCATGGCTAATGTAGCATATCTAGAAATTTATTTTCGAAAATCAAGTAAGTCTATTTAAAATAAAACTAAAGTTTTATTCTGTCTACCTTTGCTTTCTGAACAGCTTTTCCATTTGTGTTTTGATATATATGCTTTTAGAAAAAAGATACAGGTGTACATGTAGCATTTTGTCCGTTTAAAAGGTGTCTTGGTATAAGATGTATATATATTTTTTTCATTTGTTGATTACATTCATTTTAGCTATAAATCGACACGTGGGATTTTCCGTGTTTGTATTTAACAACTCATCGTACACTCCTCCATTAAAGCCATCTGAGCATAAAGTGTTCACTCACAATATCGCTACATGTCCTAATCCTGTGATGAATGTAACTGTCAATAGAGAGACTGGAGGGATTGCCTTGTATAACTCTAAGAACCCTCCTGTCAGTACAGCATGTTCGGGTTATGAACCCACATTCGCAACTATTGAAATTTGTGAAGTAAAGGTTATGGGTACGTGTTAAATTGTATATACAACAAAGTTTAATTCATTTGATTAATAATCTAAAATTAAAACTGAGAATGTTTTTTTTATGGGAAATCATATAAGAGTGTTTTAACTGAATTAGAAAAAGAAAAAAATAGACTAACAAAATCTAAAATGTTTCCTTCAGGTTGCCCTTCACAACATTACGGAGAAAGCTGTGTTCCGTGTAATCCTAAATGCCGTGATAAACAGTGTGATGCTTTTAATGGTTCCTGTATTTATGGATGCAGAGAAACAGTTATAGATTCGCCAGACTGCTCTGGTAAGCTGTCTATATATCAAACAAATCTCTCTCTCAAAAGTTTTTTTTTCTTAATTTCATACATATGAAATATGGAGATCTTTTTTTTTCAACATAATCCAAATTTACTGTGTACCAAATAAATTGATTCAAGGTAATTTCTCACTAATATAAATATTTGATTTATGACACTAATCTCTTTTTTCGATAGTTTTTGTTAACATATATCTGGGCTGCTTCTGTTGATAAACGTGTTTTTAATTTGAAAAGTGATGAAGCTTGGTGGCATATTGAAATGATTTCATTATACTTTGTGAAAAACTTGGATGACTTAAAAAAAGTCAAACATTCACTTTTTTCTGTTTAAGGGTTGTTTGTCTCCACTTCAAGTTCTTTTTTTTTGGGGGGGGGGGTATATCATAATTTCAGACTTAACAGAAGGTGTGCATCCGAACAAACGCCAAAGCAAAATATATATACATCGACGAAATGAATAAAATATATTTGCACTTTTGAGTTCTGTTTCCCTTTTTTTTTAACGTACAACATGTAAATGGTGTAATTCTAACACATTTCAAATGTTCTGTAGATTGCAGAGATGGATATTATGGAACAGACTGTACACAGAGTTGTGGCTTTTGTAAAATTGATACATTCTGTGACAAGTCAACAGGAATCTGTCCTGAGGGGTGTCAGGGTAATTGGGACCACTCACACTGTGCAGGTACATGAAAATTGTACATTAATGAATGTCTCTTTGAATTAAATAAAGCTGTTGAAAAGTCACAACTCTCAGCTGCTTGATATGACCCACAACAATGGAATCCGAATTTTCTAAATGACAGCAGGCGTTCTTTGCATTTTGAAAAAAAAGGGGGGGGGTATTTTCGCTAATAACATGTCTTGATAATTCGAAGGAATATCTGATAGCTTAAATATAACTAAAAATACAGTACCACACACCTCTACCTGTACCTCTAAAAACAGCGTAGTTCTTAACCCGCAAATTTTACAGAAATTGTGATTTTGCAAAATAATAACCCATTGCAAAAAATACATTAGCAGATACATAAATTAAATATATTGCAATGCAAAACTGAAAGTGAGTGGCAGTTATATATTTTAATAACCAAAATTAAAACAAAGATAAAAATCAAAATTCCAGAATTATAGCTCAAGATAATGTTCTGACTTACGTTTTACATTCATTGTTTTTAAATGAAATGTATTGATTGGAAGAGGAATTTATTGATTGAGGAAGGATAAAACGTAAGATATCTATTCATATGTAAGTCTTAATTCATCATTCAAATAGCTTTGATTTTCTTTTTTTAAAGCGGCAATACGGCTGCAAATCGTTTGCTTTTTCACTCAAATTTACCCAATATATCATTCAGGAATAAGGTAAAAAGTTGAAGGAAGCATTTTTGAGAAAAATAAATATTCTCTCCTCATACAAAATTAACGTAGTTAGAATCTGTCGGAAAATCAAGGGTCGTACAGCTTAGATCTGTTTACTTGTACCACGTGAATTCTAAAATTGCACGCGCATACAATGTAGGGTTTAGAATTATAATGGAATATTAGGTAAAAGCAATTCTCAGAATCAAAATATCTTTACTCTCCGGTAAATTAATAATAGTTAACATTTTAGTCTGTGCTTTTAGACGAATTTAACATGATTTAGTGCAAATGCTG